CTCGCCCCCAGTAATACCACGAACACACAGAAAACAGGCGTGAAGTGGAAGCAATTCCGCGTACAGTCTGATGAGTGTGGTGCCGAAGGCCTAATTTTAGTCCCTTTCTCTTTCCATCCTTTTATTAAGTGGAAATAATGGGAAGGAAAAGTAGATTTTCCATTTCAGTGGATACAGATGGCCGCTTGCTTGTAAGTAGTTTTTTAAAATAGTTTTTTTTTATAATTTAAAACTATCGTCATTTTTATGTACATAATGTAACACACGGGTTTCTTATAACGATTTTATTTATGTAAAATTCCTCGAAATATAACTGACGAAAGAATAATTGTAACCACATGCTGTGTAAAAAAGTAATTAAAAAAAAAATTATTTAAATTAAATTTAACTGTAATGGTATACATAAAATATTCTTATTGTAAAATTCAATCTACAACTTTGAAAAAAGATTTGACAATAAAGAAAAAATGTCTTTTTTTTTCACAAATATTTAGAATTTTATTTCTCACGTTGAATATATGTGTTGTATAGCAAAATAATATAGTCTATGACACTCTTTGGGACAAGACCAATCGAATGACACTTAATTTGTGGTCATCGGTTCAGTAGTTTATGTCACAAGTGGTAACAAAGTTATGAATGGTAACCTGCTTCTCCTCTTTGGCCTGCGCCTTCATCTGCTGCACCTCCATGGTGTCGGGCTTGCGCCGCCGCATGTACAGGTCGTGGTTACCGATGCACAGGTCCAGGATCTGAAGGTCCACATACATTATCTTACTATTATTATAAATGCAAACGTTTGGATGGATGGATGTTTGTTAGTTTGTATCCTAAACTGCTGAATGGATCTCGATAAAATTTGGGTATAGATGTAGAGGATAGTCTGGAAGAACACATAGGCTACTTACTTTTTTTTTTAATTTCACGCGAAGTCGAGGGCGAAAGTTGGTATATTACAATAATTAATCAAAGACAATCAAAAGTAGTATATTTTTTAATTTACACAGAAATTTCTATTTATTATCTATACTAATATTATAATGAAAAAAAAAATTGTATGTATTGAAAAAACTCAAAAACTACTAAAAATCCTTACACCATTAAAAAGCTATGTTATCACTGAGTAACAGAAGCTATATTTTGTATTATCCTTCAATTTCACGAGTACAAAGTCGCGAGTAATGGCTAGTTAAAAAAGCATATCGTCGAATTGAATACCTCCTTCTTTTGGGAAGTCGGTCAAAAATATAATATTTAAATGGGATTCAAAAAATAAACAAAAAAAAACTAAGAACAGTTTTTAAATAAAATAAGAAATATATGTAATATGTACTCACCAATTTATTCATACCCTTTGGGGAGAAGAATATAAAATTCGTGACACTCTTATCTACAAACTTGATAACAAACTTTTTGTCATCAAATGATATATGTTTGATCTCGGACCAGGGGAATGTGGTCTTCGGGGTCAACTTATTGTCCTTCTCGTAGATGTTCAGCCCCAGAGCTGTCACTCCGAGGTAAAGATCTGTTTCCTTTTTATTCTGGAAATTACAATTAATACAATAAAGTTTTGATGGATGTTTGTTATTATCCACTATCTGTCGCCCGCGACTCCGTTCGCGTGGAAATAGAAATAACAAAAGTGAGTAGCCTATGTGTTCTTCCAGACTAAGCCATTCATCGAGATCTGTTCAGCGGTTTAGGCTACACTCTAACAAACATCCATCCATACATCTAAACTTTCACATTTATAATATTAGTAAGATGTATAGAACAACTGGATCTTAGTAAACTTTTTTAATTCTCTAAAAAGAATTCACAGGTTAAATGTAGTAATGTGTTTTTGTTTAATCTAGATATGAATGAAAATATTATACTAAAAACTTAATAAATAGCCTAAAATAATATTTGTATATATATCGAGTAAAAGTTTTATTTCGTTTTATATCGCTTATAAAGAAAATCCAATTTTTTATTTTTAATTTGTAATTCCAGTGTTTGTTGTGGGTAATCTCATTAACACCTAGACTAAATTTTCCAGGATTTTGAGGGGAATGTAGCTTTTTACGCGGGAATGTTTTAGGCTACATCTTACTAATCTTACTAATATTATAAATGCGAAAGTTTAGATGGATGGATGGATGTTTGTTAGCGTTTGTAGCCTAAACGGCTGAACGGATCTCCATTAAATTTGGCACAGTTTTAGAGCATAGTCTGGAAGAACACATAGGCTACTTTTTATCCCGGGATTAGTTACGGTTCAAGTAGGATTCATTAATTTAGTTTTTTAATGTTCACTCAATCAACATTTCTTATTGAAATTTGGCACAGATATAAAACAAAGTCTTGTATACATGGGAAAAGGTTCATCCCAGAGAAATGCCCGGTTCCCGAGGGATACGTAGCTTTTTGTAATTTATACAGTTTGCATGTTTTCTAATACCACACAGACGAAGTCGCGGGCAACAGCTCGTTTAATATAATTATGACAAAGTTAAATGACTGGTAGTTATACATAATGTTACTTACATTAATAGCAAAATAATTGACTCCGTACATGTCCAGATCCTGAGCAATCTTTAAATACTCCATCTCGGCTTCATCCCTTGACATACCTTTGTGGTCGGCATACCTAAAAATTAGGGCATTAAAATAAATCACTTAGTTTGTCAAATATACTAATATCATAAATTTTTGGATTTTTGTATGTATTGAAATAACTCAAAAACTACTGGACTGATTTCAAAAATTCTTGCACCATTAAAAAGCTATGTTATCACTGAGTAACATGCCATATTTTAACTTTTTTTTAATTTCATGAGAGTGTATTTGAGCTAAAAAGACATTTTGACGTCCATTGTATCAATCAGTGGTCAAGAATATATATTGCTTTGGAGGAAGAAAACCCGGTGCGCCGACCGAAGGGAGAAGGATAAGGCAGGGGAGATGATGATGGTCAAGAATATTATATAAAGAGCCATTTACTTACCATATTTTAATTCGGTCCTCCCACATCTCGGGGGTCATTTGATACTGGTCAATCACCCGCTGTGGTAATAAATCTTCACTAGCCAGCATACCCGGCTTCGACGCAGTCTCATCGTAATCCCCATACTGTACACATAATATTTAATATTTAAACTAATTCTCTATATTCCATTCCTAAACAAAGTATTGTTAATATGAAGTGTACATTTTCACTAAACTTGATAAATGTCAAGATATTTCTTGAAAAACGTATAGCAACTTTCGCAAAAACGGTTTTTTAACGCGCGTTAAAAAACCGTTCGAATAAAATATGTCTTTCCATGTATCTGTGCACATGTCCAGCACTTTAGAGACAGTTGCATTTTAAGCAAAAATAGACAAACATGAATGATTTTAAAGCATTCATATAAGAGTTTAAAAAAATCGCCAATGCAGAGCGTTAAAAAAACGCCCATCATAATAAAGACGTTAAAAACGCCCATCATAATTAAGACAATTTTCACAAAATAACTGAAAAATTAAATAAGAACCATGTACAGAATCACACATACCATAATTAACTTTTTCTATCAACTTTCAAAAGGTTACCTTAGCCTGAACAGCATAACTGGCCAGTAATACAGAAGCTTCAGGTGGGCAGTATATATCCATGCTGAGTATAGCCTGCTTCACCTGGAGAAACAGCAGATGCTGCGTCACCTCCTGGATCAGTTCCTCCGCCACATCCTCTGGGTACAGCTTGCATAGTAACATGAACGGAGTGCCTGGCATTTGTGACACACACTGATCTTGTACTGTAAACATAAAAAAAAAACAAAACATTAATTAACTTGGTACATTCTATTATCTGTGTAAATTTTATTGTAATGTAAATTTTGTCTTGAAAAATTTGCATTTCAAACATATGATAGTTTACATAGAACCCAATAGGTTTGTTTACTCACCTCTTTTGTCCAATTTGAGCCAACTTATAAAGTGCTTTGTATCTTCGAATTGCAGTCCAAAGAACCATGTCTCTCGGAGACCTATCGTCCTGCACACCAGGTCAAATAAATCTCTACCTGTTGCTCTCCACTGTAACAATACATTACAATATATTTTAAACTTATACAATACAATTATACAATTATTCTACACTATTTCATGTCAACATTTCAAAAATAAAGTTTTGTTTAATCTGACAAGAACCATTAATAAGTTAAATAAGACAGTAAAGTAGCATGCATAAAAGTGTTAATTTGTATGAATTAAAAAAAATCGAAAGTTTTAACACTAATATCAGTTATTACTCATTAATAAATAAAACAAAACTATCAATTAAGAACGCAAGAAAAATTTTATTAATAATTTGATAAGCTTAAGTTTTCTTGTTATAAAACGGAAGTTGTTATCAAAACATTCTGAATACCACTGTTGTTGTCTAATAGATAAGGTGCTGGTTAACAACAAACTATATGAACTCTGACCTGCGGGTTAATATATGACTCATAGCCTCAACTCGCACTAATTCATGCTAACTTTCCCAAATTACGACAATAAACACTAAGGGATTGATTCGCGCGGGAACAATTTACATGAAATCTCACCTCAAGGTTAAATTCTAACTCTGCATCTAATGTACACACTTTCACAGGAAAAGACTTGGAAGCCTTCTTTCTTCTAAAAGGCGGCATCATTCTTTTACATAATGGCACAGTCAAAAGAAATTTAACAAAACACAAGCACTAGGTTATGACAAATGTTCCAACATAGTTTCCTACTTGTATGCTACATCTAAAGTTTACGTAACGTACAGACCGTCGAGGAATGCGTGTAATTTCACATTGCGTACTATTTCCAGCCGATAATATTTACAAACAAAAGGAACGTCAATGAAACAAGAATGCGAGGCTGAATGAAGAAAAATTAGTCAGAAAAACCAATTACGTTTCGTTTTACGATTTGTAAATGTTGTAAATGAAACCTATTTGATGTTTTGCAGTGTAAGACTGGCTGTATTTAAATAATGACATATGTTATTTTAAGTTTGAGTTGTTCGAAGAATGTAGAGAAAAAGAACATGTCTAGAATAGTATAAAAATAATATCTTGTTTTTATACACCGTTGTATTGATATTAATTTATATGAGAATAAATAACAATCTTTATTTATTTAATCATTTTTGTGTGCTGGCTAAACCAAATTCCTATCAGTAAAAATAATAGTTTCACAGATTACGCAAATGTCAATCTAAATTGGTACCATTTCACCGTGATGAAATATATTTTTACGGTTTTACAAAATTGCATAACTGAGTACAGAAACGTTAAGTACAACTATGGATTCAAAAAATTACCCCGTAGCAATACTATTTACAAATAACATTTTCTTTCACATACTAATAAAATTAAGTTGTGTTTTTTCTTTATCTATACTTATAAATTGACATTTGTCAATGAAGTGGAAAAATAAAATTGGCAGACAATGTCAAATCAATGTCAATGTCAATTTCATTAAAAAGTCAGATCAAAATAGGCAAGCACGTGCTATAATTTTGAAATAAGATCAAACAATACTTTAAAATGGGAAAATTTAGATCTAAACTGAAAGGAAAAACGAAGGGTAAAAGATGGCAAAAAGGACAGTCATCAAATTCAAATCCCAAGATACAAAAATACAGAGAAATGGCTAAATCCCGGTTCTTCCAAGAGAATCTCGGTATGGTTAATTTACTAAATTTAATTAAACTATCTCTTTAGGCTTTTTTTAATGATTGAATATTTATAGGAAGCACTGGCTTGACACAACAGGCTGTACTAAAACATGATGCTATGATGACTTATGGTCACAGTACAGGCAAGCAGAAATCCGAATCAGAGAATGAGCTAGCTATAGCTAAGGACTTTGAATCTATGTCAATGAGGAGTGGTGACGAGGGTTCAGAGACAGAATACACAGGGTCTATGAAGTCTGGTACATTTAGGACATTTCAGACATTTGCATCTGACTGGAGTCAATGTTCAAATGTTAGTTTCAGCAAGTAAGTGTGTTTAAATTTGTAATAAGGTAATCTATCTATATAATACTCAAATTACATACTTCTTGAAATCTCATATGGAATTGACACAACAACAATAATAGAGTATTTATATAGGCAGTCAACTATTTGTATTTGTATTTTTTATTATTGTTTTTGCCTTGCCATGATCATCTGGTTTAAGGCAAACAAACAAGCCATCTCTGTTCTATTGCACACAGTAGATACCAACAGTTATCTATAAGTTAGAAATTTCATAGATCATTAAAATAATTTTATCATAAACAAGTTCTCATTCTGATATTCTTTACAGGTTGCTAAATAGGTTTGATTCAAATAATGCAATCCACAAAGACATGCTGGCTGTCCTAGCTGCTGTCACTGAGGTTATAAAAGAACAAGGTGGCAAGGAGACCTCCACTGAATACTTTGCTGCATTGGTATTTTATTTTTTTTTTCAAAGTAGAGAAATTACTAACAGAAGTATATAGCCTATGTGTTCTGCCAGATATTCTACATCTGTGCCGAATTTCATTGAGATCCCTTCAGCAGTTAGGTTAACACCGCTGGGTTTTTAGTGGGTATTCCGGCCATCTTCCATCTCTCGGCCGGCGAGTCCCACATACCCCCCCTGGC